ATAAGATCAACACAAATGATTACAGATAAGAATCTTTCATTCTTCCTAATTTTTCCCACCATTCACAACAACTACAATGAAATCCTCCTACATATCTGATCTTTTTCAGGTTCTTTATGAAAAATAATGTTTCGGAACCATTTAATAAAAACCATACCGTCAATTTTTTTCATTGGACTGACAATCTCCAAGCACTACAAACAACTACAAACGATTGCAGATCAAAATCCGATGCCAATTGAGCTGCAACTGCAAAATAGTTCCTGTCTTTCAAAAATGAATGGCGTCTATTTGAAGTCGGATTCGAAAAATTTCAAAACTACAATCAACTACAAACGATTGCAGATAAGAATCCGATGTCCTTTTAGCTGTAACTATGAAATAGTTCCTAACTGTCTTTTGAAAATGTATGGGGCGCTCATTTTTCAACTACAAACAAAAAAAATGCTACTACTATCATGTGGCGATCAAAATCTACCAAATATCAAATTTTCGTTTCAATTCATCAAGCTGGGGTGCACAGAGCTGACTTTTTCTCACCCAATTCAATTTAATGATCTTCGTCATTCATTGTACAAACCACTGCTGCAATGAAGGAATTCCATGTAGGCATTCCTGTAGATTTGGAGACTGTGAGACGTAAAGTCCACAGTGCTGTTGAAACCTTTCGAGGTATGAAATTGATACGTAAAAGATAATAGGGATTGCAATGAGAAGTTTCAATGAATTACGAATAATGAAAGAGGGAGGTCATCGAATTCAATTGGGTGAGAAACAAACTCTCTTGTAATCTATGATGCAATACCAACGACATACCGATTTTGAAAAATGAATAACATCCAGGAAAATTACCTTCATTGTTATGATTTATTTAGCATTGATTAGTAGAAATTAAATCTTCTGAATATGATAACCCAGCACAGAACTTAATTCAGAGTCGAAGATATGAAACAAGATGTGTCACTCAAATCCGAAAATTAGTTTTTGGAGAACAAAAACCCGGAAAGCAAAGGAGATGGTGAGATAGGCTAATCTCTCCCTCCTCCGTAACGAATTATAAAACTCCTTCCCCTACTTCATCTCGTGACGAAATATTTGTATGCCTCCTACGATTCCTACTTTCAGAACCCAGAGTTCTTGATTTGAGTACCCAAAAATTCTTATTTCAAGAACTTTTGTTCTTGATTTCACTACCATGGTTCTTGACCTGAGGACTTTTCTCGCTGGAACTCAATTCCTTTATGTTACTGAATATCAGTAATTTGTTCATGAGCCGATCCACGCCAATTCAGGAGGCTAAAAAAGTCAATGCTGGGGATTCCGTCTCAATTTTTTTCTGAAAAGATGTCGATCATCAGGTTACTTCTAGAGAGATGATTTTTCAACATAAATGATAACGCCAAAAGAATACTGAAGATTTGATAAGTTGACCGATCAGTTAGCGTCACGAGGTATGCGTCAAGTCAGCAATGGTCAGAAAACGGTAAATTTACGACTGACTTGACGCATGTCAAAAATTGCCGTCATTTTGCATCCTCACTTTTGACCCTTATTTTTTCTGACCCTTAAAATGAGGGTCCATTGCAGACTCTCCATGTTCCCGACCCTTAAATTTTGACCCTCAAAATTGCTGACCCTAAAAATGTTGGAACGTCAAACTTTTACCCCAATTTTTTCTGACACTTGAAATGCGGGCCCTTTGCAGATCCTTCATGTTTCTGACGCTTAGATTTTGACCCTTGAAATTGCGGACCGTAAAAAATGTTGAAACGCCGAAATTTCGACTCTTACTTTGCGGGCCGGAAAGTATTTGACCCCAACTATCTACTCTCTAGAAACTGTAGACAGTAGAGAGAGTTGCTCGCACCAAGCATCCGGGCCCAACTATCTACTCTCTAGAAACTTTAGAGAGTAGAGAGCATCCCCATCAAGCATCCGATCTCAACTATCTGCTCTAAAAAATGAGGAGAATACAGAATTGCCCTCATTTTAAGGTTCAGATAAAATGAAGGTCAAAAGTTCGACGTTCCAACATTTTTAAGATCAGCAATTTTAAGGGTCAGGAACATGAGGGGTGTGCAAAGCACCTTTATTTTAACGTTCAGAAAAAGTAAGGGTCAAAAGTTCGACGTTCTAACATTTTTAGGGTTAGCAATTTTAAGAGTCAAAATCTAAGGGTCAAGAACATGAAGGGTCTGCAAAGCACCTTTTTTTTAACGCTCAGAAAAAATCAGGGTCAAAAGTTCGAAATTCCAACATTTTTAGGGTCAGCAATTTCAAGGGTCAGGAACATAAAGGGTCTGCAAAGGTTTTTCATTTTAATCGTCAGAAAAAAATAAGGGTCAAAAGTTCGTCGTTAGAACATTTTTTAGGGTCAGCAATTTTAAGGGTCAAAATGTAAGAGTCAGGAACATGAGTCTGCGAAGGGCCCTCATTTTAAGGGTTCTAATTTCTCTTTCGTAAATTTCTCTCTGACGAAATGAAATTTGACTTCGATGTGTTTTGTGCGTTTATGGAATTCAGGATTCTTCGCTAATTTGATAGCACTTGCATTATCAACAAATAGAGTAGGAGTATAATCGATATCTGCTATTTCATGCATCAGACGTTTCAACCAGATCAGTTCTTTAGCTCCTTCACATGCAGCAATATATTATGCCTCGGTAGTTGACAATACAACACTTCGTTGTCTTTGACTCATCCAAGAAACAACGGCTCCAGCATTCATACTAACGACTCCACTCCGAGAACGTCTCGTTTCAGGATCTCCTGCATAATCAGCATTACTGAATACTTCCAATTCTGTTTGCTCGCATACATGCATATTTATAAATCCTCTTCACAGCATTCCAACTGGAAACAGTAGGTGAATCCAATTTCTCAGATACAACACTCACTGCATACGCCAGGTCTGGACGCTTTGCTGTAGTCAGGTACATCAAGCTCCCCACTGCTTGGCGATAAGGTACTGCATCATGTAGAGCTCCATCTTCCTCAGAAATTTTCATACCTTCACTTGGGGTAACTACAGACTTAGCATCAGTTAAATTGAACTTCTGAAGAATTTTCTCTGCATAACCACGTTGATTCAAGAAAATCGATCCATCTTCCAGACATAGAATTTCCATTCCAAGAAAAGTGTCAAGTGATCCAGTCGTGATATGGAACTCTTTCTTCAACTGCTCCATGAACAGCCTAACTTCTCCTCCATCAGTTCCAGCAACAAGCCCATCATCAACGTAGAGGACAATGAATAACTTCTTATTGTTTCTCTTTTTCACGAAAAGACAGGGATCAGTTTGACTACTAATCAATCTTTGTTTCTTGACGAATTCTACAAATCTTTGATTCCAGCACCGAGGTGCTTGTTTCAGCCCATATAGACTGCGATTCAATTTACATACACGCTGAGAACCATCGTCGTAACCTTCTGGTTGTCTCATGTAAACATCTTCATGCAGCTGTCCATACAGAAAGGCTGTTTTCACATCAAATTGCTTCAGGTGCAGTTTTTCACGTACTGCTTCACTCAATACTGCTCTCACTGTATCAAATCGAGCGACAGGACTGAAAGTTTCATCGTAGTCAATTCCTGCTCTCTGAGTATAACCCTTAGCGCCCAGTCTGGCTTTCTAACGATCGAGACTTCCATCAGCCTTCAATTTCACTCGATAAATCCAGCGATTCTGCACCACTTTTTCTCCTGTTGGCAATTCTACCAGCGTCCATGTCTCATTCTCATTCAATGACGCCATTTCATCATCCATTGCTTCAGACCATTTATCAGCTTCCTCAGACCGCATTGCCGATCTATATGAATTAGGACATGCCTCTTCTGCCATCAGTACGATGCCACTAAGCCAGCCTAGCCTTCCAACTTCTCGCGTTGGTCATGGGGAAGTGATTGGCTCTGCCGCCACTGGTATTTCACCGACAGGTACAGCTTCTTCTTCAGCTTGATTATCATCGTCACGAATATCTCCTTCTTTTTCATTTTCCTTAACTACTCCAGGAACCGGCTGAAATGTAAGAGTAACTCTTTCTTTGACCAAACTCTCTGATTTGAAGACAACATCTCGACTGCACTCAACTTTCTTCTCGTTGGAGAACCAAATTCTGTAGCCATCTTTGTCTCCACAATATCCAACGAGTTGACCTTCCTTACTCTTTTTATCCCACTTCTGCCTCTTCTGTTGAGGAACATGAACAAAACATTCGGTACCAAATACACGAAGATGATCAATGTCTACAGCTTCTCCTCCAGACCACAACTCCAGTCACTGAAGCTTCATTCAGGAATGTTGTCAGGCATTGAGTAACTTCCGATTTTTCTTTCATGAAACATACTCGGCGGTGCTTTGAAAAATCATCCTTGAAGACTACGAAATAGCGTGATCCACCAATAGAGTCTGTTTGCATCGGTCCACAAACATCAGCATGAATCAATCCTCCCGATTCTGTTGGTCTGTGTGGTTGTGAATGGAAAGTTTCTCGATGTTGCTTTCCATACATACATGCATCGCAAAACTCGTCGTCAACACTCACTTCAATTCTTCGTGTCTTCAGGATTCGTTTCACATGACTTTTTCCTTAGTGACCTAAACGCTCATGCCACAACTGCAATGTTTCAGTCGATGAAGCAACATGAATCTCCGCAGCTTCCTCTGGCACAAGAACTCTCATATTCAGAGCATACAGTCCTCTTGACGTTTGTGCCCCAGTCATTCGAACAGTTCCACCTCTGATAAACTCGCAGTTATGCTGATTTGCCTTGAACACGAAACCCTTTTCGATATTTTGACTAATCGAAAATAAATTCCTCCTAATTTCAGGTACGAACCACACGTCTTGCAAATAATTCTGATCATTGTTACCATGAATCTTCATTTCAACATTTATCGTCCCACTCCCATAGGCTAAGATCACTTCTTTATTCCCTACGATAACTTACTTCGGAGTATTGAAGGACTCATATGTTACGAAGTACTCTTTGTGACTCGTCATGTGTGCTGATGCTCCTGAGTCAGCAAACCATTCGTTCTCTCTTGGTAACTTTCCTGCTGTAGACACGAAGGCTTCACCTTCTCTTTTCCTGTCCTTGTGTGAATTTTTTTTTTGTCTTGTGTGGATTTTGTATTCTCGGCTTTTTTCTCTGGACATTCTCTTGTGAAATGTCCAACTTCGTGACATTTGTAGCATTTCAGGGACTTCTTATCAAACTTCTCAGTTTTCTTCTTGTTCCCAGCTTTAGCCATCAAAGCCTCGGTTTCATTACTTTTTGTGGGTAATCTCATTTCAATCAGTCGTAATCTCTCAGTTAATTTGTTCACTGTACGATCAGCCACTGGAATGGATTCCCAAACACTCTTGAATTCAAAATACTCTGATGGAAGAGTTGACATAATTCGACTGGTCAGTAATAACTCCGGCAATTCAGTATTACTGATTTTCTTCAATTCATCGTTCAGTTCACGAAAATTCCTCTCCAGTCGCCCAATACGCGTTGTTATATTCTCAGTATTCACTCTGTCGTTCGTGAAAAACTGCTCCATCAAACGATCAAAACGTTGACTTGAAATTTGTTCGTAGATAGAAGTCAGTTTGTCCCATATCAGTTTCGCCGAATCACATGTTGATGTTATATCAACATGTTATTGGTTGAGGCTCCCAACAATAATTAATTGAGCTAGAGTGTCGAGTTTATGATATTTCTTCAATTCTGTATTGTACTCAGCCGTTTAATCTGGCGTTGCTACAGCAGGCAGTTGGTCCGGCACTTTCACTGCACCCGTTACGACATCAAGAACTTCGTGGTGGCGTAGCAGCAACAACACTTGTCTCTTCCATCCCGTCCAGTTCACAGCACCCTCCAACTTCTCAATACGAGCTTTGAAATGAAGCGACGCCATCTCTCAATTCTCAGCTGACGTTACAGAATTTCAACGTGTTTTTGGTTTTTATTTATATTATTCCTTCCAGTTCAAACGAGCCCTGGGCCCATAACCTGTTGCGATTTTATATAAATCCGAGAACACAATAGATAATTATCAATAAATTGTATTTTGTTCAGTTGGAAAAATACATCTGTCAATTATAAAGAGTATCAAAAGACTCTTGAAAAAGTTGAAGGATATGGAATGAGTTCAGAGTCTTTGAGAAACAAGAAACACAATCAGACACTTTAATTTTCTCAACAGTGAGGAGCGTGAACGCCAAGCTGCTGCTACAGCAGAAGCAGAGCGCCAGCGACGGGCGAATGAACATGATCGCGGCCAAAATGGAGCAAATCGAGATGCGGATCTGAATAATACTAGTGTCACAATTAACGAAAGCACTTCTGCGACCGGCGCAGAATTTGTGCATTATCGCAGAGCAAGAGACACTTACGCTAATATCCCGGTTTTCAATGGAATACCAGATTCGCAAACTGATTTCCTCGATTTTGAGACCGCTGTTAAACGATGCTACCATAGGTATCTCCTCAAAATCCTGACTTTATCGCTGCAGTTTTAGATCGTTTACACCTGCCGGCTAAAGCGCATTTTGAATCGATTCCGATATATTCTGCAGATCAAATTCTAACTGTACTCAGAAAAAAATACCGCAAGCGATACAGTCAAGCGTATTTTGAAGAGAAAATTAATAACATGACGTTACAAAAATATGAGTAAGTCGATGATTTCGTTTTGCGTCTACAAAGGCTTGTTAAAAATGCTAAGAATGCTCTCAAGCTCCTCTATCCAAACCACCATGAGGTATTAATAGAACTGATTGAAGAACTAGCCATAAAAAGGCTGATGAAATTAGCTCCATCTGAATATCGCGTAGAATTGAAACGAGCAGGAGTAACGAAGCTCCAAGATGCGTTAGCTATTGTACAACCTTTGGTGGAAGAGGATAGCGGACCTGTAGTACCTCAGAAAACAAATGATTCTTATCGCAATGATCGTCGAACTGACCAATCTGACAGTCGCTCACGAGACGATCATGATGGACGTGTTGACGATCGAGACTCGAGAAATCGAGAACGATCTCATGACTGTGATAGGTGGCATTTGAGAGACAGATCGGTATGGTTCGATGACAGAGATTCGTTGAGAGAACGCGAGCGTCAGTTCTACGACGGTCCCAGCCAGCGACAATCTCATTACAAATCGAGGGGTCGTTACTATCGCGACCATCGCGATGGAGATAAGTACTCGACCGCTACGTCGTCACGAGAAGAATTGCGTTGCGATGATGAACGCTGTTGATGTGTGCACTGCCCAAATAATAAAAAGAGATCGTCGAAAACGGGAACGTTTTCGAGTGCCGGAGATAAGTAGCCTCGACGAGATGAAAATGATGATAGGGACCGTTACTCAGGTAAAAGAGGGTCATCGCGTGAAGATTCTAAGGGACGTCGAGATTCGCGTCGCGATAGAACGCTGGAAGGACGGACAAATCTCGGAATAAGTCTTTAAACGGGCAGGGCGCCCGCTCGCCAAAAGCGGGAGCGGGCGATACGATAGAGAAACAGACAGTATCTGTGGCGGAAATATTGCGCCGTATATAGGTACCAAGGTAACTCAATAGCGCAGGGGTATGTGTCCGGTCATTACCCTAGAATATCGCGATTTATATAATTACCGTGCAGACTTGATGATCGATACCGGGGGGGAAGCTAGTTTGATTTTCATTAATATCTTACACCCAGAACCTAGGATCGATCCGAATGAGAAGATATTTATTGTAGGAGTAGGTTCAAAAATAACGGAAACCTTGGGTACTCTCGCTATAAAACTGAGGGGAATTGTCCTCAAATTTCACGTATCGCCGGTGTCACCGGGCGGTTATCCAGGAATTATAGGGAGAGACTTCTTGTACCGAAATGGCTGTACCCTCTCTTATGATATGTATACTCTCTCACTTCATATTTCACCTTGTCGTCCTCTAGCGTTCACTGTGCAATTCCCCAAGTATTTGAAGCACCCGGAATCGACTGTTGCTTATACCGACGGAGATGGACCTATAGTTAAGATCGAGTCGTCCGCTTTAAATGGGAGATCGGGTTTATTTCTCTTGGATACGGGAGCAGTGATAACGATAATCTACAAGGACGACTTGAACACGGAGTTCACACCTTGCCAGCTACGTGCACTTGTTGGAGTATCAATGGACAGCGTACCGATACTGGGAACTGTATCCATCGATATCAACGGAATTTCAGTTACTGTTAATGATCAGTAACCACACAGGATGATAAGATGCAAATAAACAGACTGAATATAACTCGTACAAGGCACGACTGCCGAGCTCCGTTTATTCTACAAGACTAACTCTACATACATATCGGCTTGTTCGACTGGCCCGTTACCCCCTCCCTGTATACCAATCCCTTGTGTCCCTGGATCATCGTCCCCCGCACCGCCGCCAGTCGCCGAAGAGACTGCCTCTCCGGCTCCTGGAGGTGTCGGTCTAGAACCGCTGACGAATACTGAAGAATTCAGTGAAGAAGATCCGGGGGGAGAGGAAAATTATAACACTTCCGAAATAGAGACTACACTGGTGGAGACTGGGGAGGGGCTTACTTATCAACGCGATAACCTGGTACATTTCTTGGCTGCTGATTGCGTGATTAACAGCTCGGTCTCGAAACTTTTACAAGCAGTACATTATATCGACATGCGAGAACTTCGACGTTATGATCCTAAGATCGGTGAAGTTTTGGTCACGCCCGCGGGAAAATATAGAACGTTTACGGTTATCATCAAGTCGCACCACACTCAAAAACCATACATTCAAGACGTACTCTTAGGCCTGTCACGACTGCGCGAAGCTCTACAACATTATCGGGTCATTTCATCTCGAATAGCTACGGTTGGTGATGAAATCGGTAAATTAGATATGCGTCCTCTACTCGAGGAAGTCTTCGAAGGATTTCCGGTGCGAATAATTCTCTGCCACGGAAAAATAGAGTGTCCTAATGAGAATTTGCCTGCGGAAATAATTCGAGAGGCTCACGATAGTTTGGTAGGGGAACACAAAGGTGTAATCAAAACTTGTCGCCGGATTCGTGAACGTTTTTATTGGCCAGGTATCGTACAACAAGTTACCGAATACATCCGGCATTGTCTGACACGTCGACAACAGAAGGCTGCGCGAATCAAAACCGTTCAACCAATGGTCATCACCCACACGCCTCTCACACCATTCGAAAGAGTAGCAATCCACATGGTTGGTCCGATACAGGGATGGGAAAATTGGGAATTAGTCGTTCCTGAATATTAAATTACATTTTTGTTTTATAATCTAAGAAAAATAATTGGAGATTACAATTAAATATCAAGTTGTATATCAGTAACCCATTAATCCTTTGAAATTTATAATTCTTCTGAATCGATTGGGAAATACATGAATTTTTATTAGCACTAATCGCAAATTACCAAAATATTCGAAGGAATTTTCAACGACCTCTACTAACTATCAGCGATAGAAATAATCTAATAAAATGCCATTAGAGAATACTTGACTAACCGGGAATTTGAGTTCTCAGATTACAGATTATTGAATAATAAATATTCACAATACCGAATTACTGGAATGGGCAAGTAATTTCATATTGTAGTTCTCCAAATTACATGGGTAATTTGGAATCTGACTTCGACGATTTTTCGATTAGCTAGATAATTCATTCGTTATTTCCCAATTACTTAATTGACGGGATGATTTACTTTAATATTTCTAAATTCCCTTCTGTAATTTCGAATTGGAATAATCACACAGAGAAAAAAAAAGTAAATTCAAGATTTTTTGTTCTACATTCTCGAATCTGCAGTTTAGAACTTGCATCCGGCTAAAATCTAGAAAAAAAAATTAATTTCAGAAAATAAATAAATTAATCAACCAAAAATGATTGTTTCAAGGCAAAAATATTCTGAAATCTATCGAATTAGGGGATTAAGGTCCCCTCTTTAGCACATTTTCAAAATGAAAGACATTTTGGAAATTTTGAATTGAACCTTTGAAAAAATGGAAAAAAATTGTCCTAAAAGGTTGGGCTCAGACGATTCAGCATCATCTGAAACGTGCAGATTCATTATCCCCTAAAGTGGGCGATTCGCGTGAGTTATGCCAAAAGGTTTAAACTTTTTTTTTTGTTTTCCCCAAAATTTGGATGATGCATCCAAATGGATGATTGCATCCCCACGTTTTGGATGATGCTGAGTCATCTGAGCCCAATTTTAAGGGACAATTTTTTGATTTTTTTACGGGGAATTTTTCAATTTTTTTGAAAATACAGATAAAAAAGTCGTATAAACACTTTCCTAGGGAATAATAAATTTCCACGTTTCAGATATGCCTGGGTCATTTGAACCTAATTTTTCGAAACATAGTTTTAGGTCTGCTTAAAAACAATTAGGAGACTTTTTAAAAATTCGAGCTCAGGAATCGTATACGTACTTTTCCAGTCAAATTTTCTTTTTTCAATTTCTTCGCAAAAAAAGTTTTCGATGGAAAACAAAAAACATTTTTAATTTATGAAAAAAATCAAAAAAAGGAAAAACAGGGC